AGAAGCATGGGAAATCCCCAAAGAGACTCATTTATACCATGCAAGCTGACATGTGATAGAAGTAGCCTTTCATACTAGTCCAAGTGATCAATTTCAGTTCACAATTGATCATAATGATAGGTCTAAGAGTCAAAGAGATCACATAAACAAGACTAGTGTCTGCTAATGCTATCTGATAGAATTAAGAAGGAGAGAATTATCCAACATGGGAAGCGGGATACACAGCAGACTCATAGAATGGCAGATGCCCTAAGCAGCACTCTGGCCTCAGAATTAGCCCTTAAGGCATTTGGATCTGGCTGAAGAGCCCATGCGAGTATTTTAGGCATGGAAAGCCAAGATACTCTGGGCGGGGGTGGGGGGGGGGGAAGAAGACCTAAATGAAAGATCTCTGCGAGTGAGATCCCAGTGGAAAGAAGGGGGCCATCAAAGAAGGAGGTACCTTTCTCTGAAGGGAGGAGAGAACTTCCACTTTGACTATGACCTCGTTTAAATAAGATCGGAGTCAGTGAACTCAAAATGCTTCCATAGCCTTGGCAACTCATGACAAGAGCCTAGGGTGATTACTGACGCAATAAACAAGAGTGTCAATTTGTTAAGTCAACAAGAGTCACTGTGCACTTACTTCCCATGTAGGATCTCTGTCAATGTGTTGTACAATGTGAAGTAATGCTATAACTAGTACTGAAACAGTATTTTACACTTTGTGTTTCTGTGTGGGTGCAAACTGTTGAAATCTTTACTTAGTATATACTAAGTTGATCTTCTGTGTATAAAGATAATTGAAAATGAATCGTGATGAAGAATGGAATGGGAGAGGGAGCATTAGATGGGAGAGTTGTGGGTGGGAGGGAAGTTATGGGGGGGGGAAACCATTGTAATCCATAAGTTGTACTTTGGAAATTGATATTTATTAAATAAAAGTTAAAAAAAAATAAAAAGAAGTAGCCTTTCACATCGTTAGAAAGAGAGTGGATCTGTCACAAATGGTTCTGAGGTGGTAGCTAAACATTTAAAAAGAAACTTAGGTCTAAAAACTCGGTGATTTTCTAAATTAAGTTCTAGCTCACTAAAATATTTAAAAAGTGAAAGCATAAAGTTTCTCTAAGAACGTTACATACTCATATAACTTAAAAAGCAGGACAAATCAGAACTCAAAGACAGAAACCGTACGGGAAAAGAGATCTGTAAAAGTGATAAATTTCTGAACATTGCCAAAATAACACTATGGAAACCACTATAGAAAGAAAAACCATGGGCAGTATTTGTCAATATTTAAATCTAAAAAGGATTCATATGCTTAATATACAAAGTACTCCTATGAAGGATTAGCAAACATTTTAACACACCAATAAGAGAATGAGCAAATTACTGAAATAAGTAAGACACAATAATAAAATTACATGTGGTCAATAAACATAGGAAGTGTAGCCTTGCTAGTATCAAAGAAATGCAAATCAATGCCAGATAACATTTAATTGACCAAATTAGCAAAGATAAAAGCTATCCGTGTACACCGCAGATGAGACTGGAGATTTGTATTGTTGCCTGTTTGAATTGTTACAACTTTTATGAGAGCCATTTGGCAATACTCCCGCATTCAACGCTGTTAAAAGACTTGTATGCCCTGCTCACTCGCTGACCCAGAAATTCCACTTCTAAGCATTTATCCTAAGGAAACAAGCATGGGTGGACTTGTGTCCAGATTTGACTGATAATGTTCATTGCAGCAAGATATTTATCAGGAAACTCGAAACACTGGGATGATAAGAGACGCTGGGGAGGGTTTAGAGTTGCTTTGGAATGGACAGCACAGGACCTGGCGGCATGTTATGGAGCATTTGGTCTCAACTCACGGACTGAGGGTTAAACAAGGTGCTTCTATAAATGGTGGTGATGCACTTGGTGGTTTCTTATTTGAGGGTGGGGTTTGCTTATTTTTTCCCATTCTGATGGAAGTTTTTAGGTTTGGATGGTTCAGGTCACTTTGAACTGGGGGCCAGGTTTCCCGTGTACAATTTTGCCGTTGCACACCTGCTTAGGTTTGTGCAGTTCAAGCAGACCTATTGGTCTGTGGATTACAGTTGTGTAAACAAAAGCTTAGGTTTCCTCTTCCTGCTGCTCCAGTCAGTATTTCCATTTTAGAATCTTCTGCAGATAACACACTGGGGGCTGGGCCGCAGGAGGAAGACCTCTGTGTCCGGTGTGATCCCCCAAAGATGTCCACCTCTGAATCCCCAGAAATAGTGCGGATGTCTCCTCCGTGGCCTTTGGGATGCTGCAGATAGGATTAAACTGAAGATCTCCAGATGGGGAGATGCTCCTGGATTCTGTGGGCGGGCCCTGCACAGGGAGGTGGGAGGGTCAACATCAGTGATGAGGGAAGCAGAGGCCAGGGTGATTCAGGCAGACTCTAGGAGCTAGGCGGGGCAAAGCAGCAGACTCTTCCCGAGAGGCTCCGGAAAGAACCGCGTTTGATGGTGGCGACAGCTTGATGTTAGCCACCGTCAGACTCACTTCAGACTTCTGACTTGCACAGTTCATAAATGGGTGTGGTTTTGCGGCCTTAAGTTTGCAATCATTTGTGTGGCAGCGATAGAAAACAAATCTATTTGGGCAAGGAGGAAAAGCCGAATTTGAACTTGAGCTGTAGCTGGACGTTAGCTGATCCTGGGTGAGGAGTTCCAGACTTGGACCCGAAGCCACAGCCTTAGGAAGTCACCCCCCACATCTCATCATCTTCATCCCCAGGGTTCCTTTCTGGCTCTACAGTCCTGTTCCTCCTTCAGCATTTGTTTACCGTTGTTAGATACCTAAGTATGGGTGAGGCCATGAGCAGGTTTACTTTATTTGTTTTGGAAGCTGGCTGCACTACTGTTTGCATTTTCCTTTCTGGGGTGTGTGGAAGATCCTGGAACACTTGAGTGTGTGAGGTAGAGGCAAATGAAGGTGTGTGCAGAAGTGAGAAGCCATCAGAACCACAACAAATGGATGCCACAGTGCACCTGACACGGGGTGTGCAGGCCTCCCAGTCTCCCCTGGTGGTCCTAGATCATTCTGGAAGGATTTCCTAGAATATCCCTCCTACTCACACACCTACTCCAGATTGCCACAAAGTTTTGCACCTGCAGAAGGAGCAAGACTATGCATGAGTTGTCCAGAATGGAGGGAGGGGCCTTCCTGAGCCTTTTGTCCTCGCAGGCTGTCTACCAGAAAGCCACCGGAAGTGTGGCAGAGGGAGACGGCAGTGTTGCTGGTTGGAGCTGCCGCTTGCTGCTACCAAGTGTGAGGCATGTTTAATAGCTTAGTCCATGGGCATAAGGAGGTTTTGTCATGTGTGTCAGGGGCCATTTGGATATTTATAACATCATTCATGGGCCACACAGAATTATCATCTTAAAAAATCAGCCTGCTATCGATTTATTGAACTTTGAGTCGTGCCTGTGCTTACTTTGGTAGGACCAGACCAAATGATTTCACAGGCCTTCCACTGTCTGCAGGCAACATTCCCCCACTCCTGCTATGTTGTTTCTTCTCCATACACACAAAAGAACCCAAAACAATATTCATTACTGTTAGAATATATTCAGGATAAACAGAGTTACAGCTGAAAATGAAAATGCAGTAAACTTAAAAGCATCAGGAGCCACTGCTGTAGAAGTTAACATTCACACCAAAAGGAAGAAGGAATAACATGAAAGCCACCTTTGTTTTGCAGAACGCACTTGAGGCACAGTCAGTGACTGCGAGGCTTGGGGAGCCAGCAGAGTTGAAACTTGTTACTTCAACGTATGGGAAGGTTGTGAAATGGAAGCTGGGTTTTGAAGTTATCAGTGGGAATATGGGAAACCCCTGTTGACATAAATCCAGTTCAGTAATCAGAAGGGATATCAGGGGACATCCAGGTGAACATGACAGTCTAGAACAGGAAGAGCAGGGAAAAAGAATGGGATTGAGAGAGCAGAGCATGCTGGGTCCCTGACATGGCTCTGGCTTCCTCAGATGAGTCACGTCAGCTGCCAGCTCCTGTTTCCTTGTCTAGGAAGTGGGAAAGATACACGCATCTTGTCTGCACTTGACATGGAGGGTGGCACAGTCTGGCCCGGAATATGCCGGGGCCACATGCCACCCGCCGACCATGGTCCATGACGGAGCCCGATAATTCCTCTTGAAGAATCCTTTGCCCTTGGGGTGGAGGAGACTGCACGTTCCAGTACCTGTTAGAGTGCAATCGTGCAGCTGTGGAGTGACTCAAATCACACGGGACAGATGGCTCTCTCTCCCCCTCCCCAGCTCCCAGTGGTGTTCGTTCCCAAAGTTTGTCTGGTTATAACCAGGTTATGCCACCATCTCCCAGGAGGGGGCTGGCAGACTGGGACAAGGTGACACTTTTGTCCTTGTTCCCAATCCACAGCAACTCCTGGAAGTGCAGGGGACTTTGGTGGCGCCATCCCGAGTAGGGTGGTCTGCTTGGCATATGCATGGGTGGCGGTGACTTTCCCCACATCATGCCCAGCTGGAAAGCGTGGTTTGGGTCACGAGGATTGTTGGTCCCCTGCACTCTACTGAGCTGGAAGCCACGGGGCCTCCCAGCACCTCCCATTGCCTCGTGGTCGCCCAGCCTTGACGTGGGTTTGTCCTGGGGGACTCCATTCAACCCCATTCCTGGTGCTGCAGACCTGGCTGCCGAGTAGCCTGGACGAAGCCCCATCCAGGATTTTAAGCGTTGTCCTCAGCCCCATTCTGGGTGAGTGTGTTGGGCTTCTGGGTGGCGCCTCGGGCACTGACAGCACTGGGCGGTTGGTGGGGGGGGGGGGGGGTCTGTGAGTCCTAGGATGCCTCGGGGCTCGGACTGCTGATCACAGTCTCTACTGTCAGTTCCCACTGAGCTACGGGCATCTCATAGGTAAAACCTATCTGCCTGGGGAGTCCGCATTTCCATGAGTCGATTTTATGAATGACGGCGGCTTGAACTGAAAGGCGCTGACTGGTCCACAGCCCTGTCATCCACACTTTAGTTTTTGTTGCAACCCTAGGACCTGATACGTGTGCAAAACACGGGAACCACTGTAAGCTGACGCTCATCTTTGGGGCTGACGTCCTGCCTAGTGGCTGGAACGTGACGGCAGATGTCTTTTCGTGGCTCACCTATGAGTTGAAAGGAAAATAGAGCAGGAAGTTAGAGAGAGAGAGAGCAATTCATACCCCCTTGATTATTTACTCAACATGATGCTGAAAGACATTTGTGTTTTTTGGAAGTTCTATGCGCTGGCAGTGAAATAAAACCTCCTTTCTAAGTGGGAAAGATTGATGTCCAACTACATTAAAGGAGTGTGCAGTCAAAGGAAACTCTGTACTCTACAAGTGAACACAAGACCTTCCACTATGCTCATGGACCCCAGCGCAAAGCGCATTATCAGAGTGAACTTTGCACTGCAAAAATGAAATTGTGCGAAGAAGCTGGAAGCACAAAGTATTCCCGTTTGCCATGGTCTGAAAATCCTTAGATGGGGAGGGAGGTTTATTAGTCACCACGTAGGAAGAGAGTGGGAGAGGAAGTGTGATCTTTCAGCTTCACTGGCGGGTGTGATTCGTTGCTATTTTTATGTTTCTCTTCTAAGTACATCACTGACTGACAGTCTACGCTAAAGACACACCAGGTCGGTTACAGGTTCAGCTCACTGCCAGTGAATTTTGCTGTGGCTGTTGACAAAGCATTCTGTGATCCTCTTTTTGTCTGGGAAGGCATTTCTCACTTTTCTTTATCTCTCGATGTGGCTGCTACCTCAGTGGCTCTCCAACTTTGCTGCATATTACAATAGGCTGGAAGTTTTTAAAAAAATCCCCATTGTCCTGGCTGCACCCCAGGACAATTAAATCATTATCTCTAGGAGGTGACCCTGGCACCGGTATTTTTCCACGTTGATTGCAATGTGCCAGAGCAGCAGGCCTCAGACCACACAGTACACAGCACTCTCCTGGGGGTGCTGGCTAAAACGCTGGCTGGAGTTCAGTGGCACTGGAGTGGGGCCTGACTTTCTGTGTCGATCACAACCTCCAGGGCAGCCCCAGCCCTGCACTATGGACTGCATTTTGAGCAGCAAGGTCCTAGACGGTAGAAGACAACATACAGCAAGACGCCAGACTGGAGACACAGAGAGTGAGACACGCCACACAGGTTCTCACTTGTCCCTGACTGCTGTCCCGTTTTGTAAACAAATGACAAAGCTTCATCTTCCTTTTCCTGTGAGGTCTTTTGTTTTTTCATGTACAAGGCCCAAAGGAAAAGCTGCCCAGGAGTGTTCTTGTCCCCAAGAGCATCCGTGACCCCAGGGATGGAGGTTGGGATCCCTCCTCCCTGACCAGTGGGACAGGGTGGCCACGCTGTGGTTCTCTGCCCAGTGGCTCGTGGGTTGTGAGAACATTCCCCACAGGGAGCCCTGGTCTCGTGCTTCGTCTGATGGGGAGGAGAGATTTTGGTAAACATGGCGTGGGAAGAAGAATGAGCCAGGCAGAGAATGAGGTTAAGGGATGGGTGTGTGAAACGCCAGGCTGAGCGAGGCCAGGGTGCCTCAGAGCAGCATTCCAACGCCCACCTCCCTGAGCAGCTCACGGGAGAAGGCGCTCACCTGCCCAGGGAGCCTCGTGGAGCTGCAGAGCACATGTGCCTCCCAGGCAAGCTCTGGGTGCTGTGCCTCATTCTGGGGTCTAGATCAAGGGGCATCTCTGGCCCACGCCTCCCATGCCCAGCCCTTCGCCGAGGACCCGGTATTGTGTCCTGGGCTGGGCAAGGTCATCTCACTCCATACTTCTGGGACTTCTTGACTCCTGGATGGATCTAAATCAAGGCCAAGATTCCTGAATTAATGTGCCTGAATTCTTTGATCATCCTTCGGACCAGGGAAATCTTAGGGCTGGGCTGGACCTTCTCCTCTCGGCCCCCTGCTTTGAGCGGTAGGTTTGGGGTGATTTGGCAGAACTGCCGCTCAAGACAGAGCTAAAAGAAACGGACCTGTGAAAACTCACTCATACCCCGCTGTCCTGCAGCGCTCCTCTCTGTGGTCTACCTGGGTTTCTGCTCTCAGGGCCCCTCAGATCAATCTGCCTCCCCTGCCCCAAGCCCTGCCCCTGTGGCTTTGCACACAGCTCTCACTGTGCCTCTCGGGATCCCACTGCAAGCTCGCCGTCTCCCGGTTGTCTCGGGTGAAACAATCCCCCGTTATTCTGTATTCCCGCAGCACCCAAGCACTCCCTGAATAACAGACACGGCCTTTGAACTGCGTGGGGCTCCGTGCCCAAGGGACTCTTCCATCCCCCACCTCCTTTCTGCCAGAATCAGAGTGTTCATCTGAAGGGAAGCACGGTGGTAGAGGCTAAACCCCACGTCTCACAGAGAGCACACCAGGAAAGAGTGGCTTGGCCAAAGCTGTCAGGAGTCGGGGTGACAGGGCCACCACGAGGGCCTGGGCTGCCAACTCAGCCTTTCGCATTGCTGCCCTTCCAGCCCTGGTGCACCATCCCGGCCTCCAGTGGAGGCATGCTCACTGCCATCAGCCATGGTTACCCGGAAGCTGTCGAGTGATGGCTGCTGTGTGCACGAGTCCATGGGCCTTTACTGCAAGGTACACAACAGAGATGTGTAGAAACAGAGATACGGGGCACATTGGTGAGAAAGAAGTGCTATGTTGGTGATGGTCCTGTTCTCTCTAAATTAATTCATAATTATAATGCCAGTCATCCAAAGATTGGAATATGATTCTAAAGTTCATCTGGAGAAAGTAAAACTGTTTCCAAAAACTGAGGGGCGGGAGCAAGGGACAGTGAGAAATTGGTGCTGCCAGATACAAAATCATACTACAGTGTTAGAGGAAACAAGTGGCACTGGTACAAAAATACAGAGAATCTCAATGGAACTAAACAGAAGGAACAGAAAGTAAGTGCACTCCACCCGCCCCACCACCACCACTGCCACCAATGGTCATGGGCTGGGTATCTGTGGATTCAACCAACTGCAGATGGAAAATATTCAGGGGGAAAAATACATCTGCCTCCCACAGGCAGGCTCTTGTCATTATTCCCTAAACAATGTGGCATAACAACTAGTTACACAGTGTCAACGTGTCTATGGTATCATAATCATCTAGGGATGGTGTGGGGTGTGCACCGGCTTTATGGTAATACCATGCTGTTTTAGTTAGGAGACTTGAGCATCCTTGTGTGGTGGCATCCACAGGGGTTCTGGACCTGCTGCCCTGTGGGTGCTGAGGGACAGCTGTACTTGGTCTGATAAAGGTAACATTTCAGATCAACAATGAGATTATGGACTGTGCCATAATGGTGTTGTGACAGTCGTTCAGCTGTTTAGAAAACAATAAAGTCCACACTGAGTGCTAAAATGAGTTATAGATGTTTAGAATTAGCTGCAAAGGATAAAATAGCAGGAGGAAACATAAGTAAATGTGTCTGTAACCTAAGGACGGGGAGGCCTGTACTCAGCGTTGAGGCGACTTCTGTGGAAGCAACATGAAAACACAAGCCACAGATTATTTACCACAGGTAGAACAGGAGACAGTTACTCTTGCTTGAGAGAGTGCTTACAAATAAATAAGAAAAGATGGTATCAGTAGGAAATAGGCAAAAGATCTAAACAGCATATTAACACAGTTGGAAGACAAAGGCTAAACATTCCAAATCACAGGTAATCGAGAAAATGTGCTAATGCAGGACAGCCTCATTCATCTCCTTGAAATTAGAAACAGGGAAATGAAAGATAACATTCAGTCTTGGGAGATGGCTCCTCAGGGTGGGTCCTGGAATGCAGGTTGATGGTTTGTCACAGAAGTCTCAAAATGAGAATTCTTTGGGCACAGTAATTTTTCCAGGAAATGATCATGAACCAAGATCTCTATAGAAGGATGCTCAGTTCCATGTATCTCTTGTCATACTTGGCTATTAGAAAGCAATCTCTGGCCGGCGCCGCGACTCACTAGGCTAATCCTCCACCTTGCAGCGCCGGCACACCGGGTTCTAGTTCCGGTTGGGGCGCCAGATTTTGTCCCGGTTGCCTCTCTTCCAGGCCAGCTCTCTGCTGTGGCCCGGGAGTGCAGTGGAGGATGGCCCAAGTGCTTGGGCCCTGCACCCCATGGGAGACCAGGAGAAGCACCTGGCTCCTGCCTTCGGATCAGCGCGGTGCGCCGGCCGCAGCGCGCCGGCTGCGGCGGTCATTGGAGGGTGAACCAACGGCAAAGGAAGACCTTTCTCTCTCTCACTGTCCACTCTGTCAAAAAAAAAAAAAAAAAAAAAAGGGCAATCTCAGGGCTGGCGCTGCGGCTCACTAGGCTAATCCACCACCTGCAGCGCTGGCACACCAGGTTCTAGTCCCATTCGGGGTGCCAGATTCTGTCCCGGTTGCTCCTCTTCCAGTCCAGCTCTCTGCTGTGGCCAGGGAAGGCAGTGGAGGATGGCCTAGGTCCTTGGGCCCTGCATCTGCATGGGAGACCAGGAGAAAGCACCTGGCTCTTGGCTTCGGATCGGCGCAGGGCACCGGCTGCAATACGGTGGCCATAGCGGCCACTTGGGGGGTGAACCAACGGAAAAAGGAAGACCTTTCTCTCTGTCTCTCTCTCTCACTAATTCTGCCTGTCCAAAAAAAATAAATAAATAAAATAAAGCGATCTCAGTGCTCAATTATTACATAAAATCTGTCTGTAGAACAGATGTAGATGTTGAAGGTTAGTCTGCTGTGTGATCCTTGTTCCGTGGGAAACAGTGGTGATAAGATCATTCTGTTCCCTGTGGAGCACACAGGAGAACTCGGTATAGAGGCCAGGAGTAAATTCCAAGTGCTAGCACGGTAATCTGGGAATCATGGGCTTTCCAGGTATTTGGGCTTTTTCTTGATGTGTTTTTGTCCTCTCAAGTTTTCTGCTTTGAACCTATGTTGCTTTCATGAGTAAAATTTCAAAGTACTAAAAATAAGAAATAGAGGCTGGAGAGTGAAATTGTAAGAATCTGGGTAGCATTGACTTAGAATTTTTTTTAAGACTTATTTATTTATTTTGAAAGAGTTACATAGAGAGAAGGAGAGATAGAGATTGATCGATCTTCTATCCATTGGTGCACTCTCCAAATGGCTACAACATCCGGGC